CTCTGTTGCAGGTCCTGTGGGGCCTCTGGCTTGTGGCCCTGTCAGGGAACCTCCAAGGACACTGGGGTCTCTCTGTGTGACCGCTGAGGTCCCTACAGTCCCTTCTGGCTGAGCCTGATGCAGTTTTTAGGATGCCCGGGGACGTAACCCTCCTGGTCATGCAGCGCTGCTCCTGTGGTACCTGGCACTATATGTGCAGGATGATAAAGGGCAGTTGTTGCAGCACTGTTGACACAACCGCAAGATGCGGTATCAGGTATAACACAGCTGTAGGTTCAGACTGTCCCATACACCCGTCACACCAGTGACGTACAATTGCCGGTCCACCCCCGGCCCCCAGTTAAAGGTTTTTATTCTCTAACGCAGTCTCTGGGCCTGTCAGCCCTCCAGTCTCTCGCATCTGCTCTGGGTGATGTCGAGAGGTTTCACCCTCTCATGCCGGCCGGTCCCCAGCTCAGGTTCCCATGGGCGAGTAATGGCCAGGCGCCACATCTGTGCCCTGCCTTGTCCTTCACCCGGCTGCTTCAAGTCAGTGCAAGGTTCATCTCCCTCTGTTCCTGCTCCTTGGTAACGTGTCACAAAAGCACCCACCTGCCATCAGAGATGTCTGTGTTTCGGAGATGGAGGGCAGTACCATCCCTCTGCTGATGCTTCGGTGTGAGATGCCGCTGCTGCAGCCCCGCAGGAGGCGTAAACCCCTTGGGAAAAGCATCCAACCCCTGTTGCACTTGCCAGCAGGTGCACCTGGGTGCAATAAACAGCCAGAGGCATCGTTCAGGTTAATCTCTTAAAAGTGCTTTCTGTTTGGCAATTGCTTTTGCACGTGCTGCCCCACATCCTTAACGCTTTCCCAGAAGAGGGCAGAGGATGCAGCTCCGGGTTGTCCCTCCTCTGGGTCATCTGAGTTCTGCCGTCTGCCAAAGGACTCCTGCTTCTGTGGCCCCGAGGCCGAGGTGTGGTTACGGCTTTGCCGGCACAAGGTACACCGGTTCCTACTGGTGCTGCCGTCTGCGTCGCTCATACGCAGCGTTGCTGTCCCGCAGCTGTGGCTGCTCCGGGTTCCTGCCCCGTCCAAAGCCATCGCTAAACCCTCCCCGGGGCCACTGCACGAGGCGATGCAGCCTCTTGCTCCCGCAGCTGCAACGACGCGCTGGAGGCCGTGGGCCTCTCAAGCCCTGTTACCGCAGGGCTCGGTCCTGGGCGCAGCTGAGGCGCCGCTGGGTCTTGTCGCACTGCGATCCCCCGGCGCTGGGTAAAGCCACGGGGCTGCGGCTCTACATCCCCAGAGCTGCAGACGGGCACTGGGTTGGGCTGTTGGTGTGCGATCAGTCCTGACCACAGTAACTAATAGTTGTTAATGTCCATAGGGTGGAAGGGGTTACCTGGGCCTCTGCCACGGGCAGAAGACAAAAGCACCGAAGGCTGTCGGCTGTAGTCAGCAGAGCCGCGGGAACTGGCCCATCGCCCTCCCTCGGCGTTTCTGATGGGCTCAGGAGTGTTCTGGTTGCCATTCTCTGTTCACTGCTGGCCGGGGGCTCGGCCGGCTGGTCCCGATAGCAAACATAAAACTGAGTTAAAATCAGCCATTGTTACATGCGCAGACACTGCCATTACCTTGTCTTTCTTGTGTTCCTTTCAGAAGAAAGGTTTCTACGCTTGTGAGCATGTATTTTAGGATTAACTTTTTGGAAAAAAAAAACTCTAATACTAAGCTTGGGTTATTTGAGAAGGCTGAGACGCCTCTAACACATCCCAGTGCCACATCCCTCTTCAGCATAATGGCTGGTCGTTAAGCACTGGCCCCGCTCAAGCCTTCATAGGTCCTGTCCTACCGCAGCTTGTGGGTGCCTTTGCCCCGCTCCTCGCTGCTGCAAACCTTTCCCTGCCCGTTGGGAACCGGCCCTGCTGAGTGCATCTCCTCGCCGTGGTCCTCTGTGGGTGACTCCATGAAGGAAAGCACAAAGTCTTTCCCGTGTTGTTGCATTAGTGCAGTTCTTGGCGTCCTGTTCCGACACTTTGATGATCTCCAGGACTCATCTGCTATGTGCAGCTGAGCTGTTTGTTTTACCTTTACAGCCCCTTCCAACTCCTTCTGCTTTTGCAACAGCTTTGACAATTAAAGGACTGGCGTGTTATGTTCCATGCACCCACCACCAACCCCCCCAGTCTGTAACTGGGCTGTCAGGGTTCTGGTCCTGTGCGCCGACTGCCCTGCCGTGGGGCATCGCACTCGCACTGGTGTTCAGCTTTTCCCTGTTTCTGGACTCAGCTCTTGCCCTCAGCTCTGTGGGGTTTTTCCTTCAGCTCGGGCTTGGCTGGCTGGAATGGCACCAGGAGCTGTGTGTTTCCCCCCCCCAGCCTTCGCCGTCTCCTGTGCCATGGCTGCCCCTGTGTGTCCGGGTCCCACGGGCCGTACCCTCCTGTGTGTGCCCGCCATGGGAAACGCTCGGTGTGTCGGATGGTGCCACCCCCCGATGAGCCCCAACTTGTCCCCTCGTGCGATCCCCTGCTTTGGTTTTTGGGCTCGGGGCCAACCTGATTGCTGACACCGTGCTGCTGATTGCTGGCTCAGCACGGCCCCACGTAAGCTCAGCAATCAATTAGCTGATCAATAGATTAACCCGTAAACACGGTTATTAATTCGGTGTTGTGTCACTCCCCGTGATTGCGTGACAGCACAGACTCCCGTCTCACACGTTGTGCAGCTGCTACCGAATTGCAGCCTTGCATGCCGCAACCTGTCCGCCCGCCCGGCCCGCTGCGCATCAGGGCCACCGAGACCCCCCGCGGCCTGGCACCGGGGCGCAGGGGCACCCTCCTTCCCCTCCCCCCGCCGAGCCTGGACCATGCGCACCCACTGCACTCCCACGTTTGGGACACGGCCCCGGTGCGGGGTGATGGGGGGGCTGAGTCCGCAGCAGCAGCACGGGCAGCAGCGGGCAGGGGGGGCTCGGCACAGGGGGGGGGG